TCTCTCTCTCTCTATATATATATATATATATATATATATATATATATATATATATCACACACACACACACAAACACACACACACACACACACACACACACACACACACACACAAGGGAGGCACACATTTGGTTGCCACAGCCTGCCGTTTTGGATTTTTTGCCGCATCACATGTGCGCGTGCGCTATGTGGCGTACGTGTGTAACTTGCACGCACGTGATGCGCCGCATGTATGGGACTCAGAACTAATTGGAGTAGTAGGGTCATTTGTCCGAGTCTGTACATACTACATAGTACATACCTGTTTTCACCGCCTGGTTGCATTCTGAGAAATTGGACCGAATGTATTAATTTATCAACTAACGGTCTTAATTTATGCAGTTAAAATATTAATAATAATAATAATAATAATAAAATTATAAAAATTGTGCCAAAGAGGAGAAACAAAGAGGAGAAAGTAGGATAGAACAGAATCCTCAGCACACTGCCAAATGTGCCAGGAACAGGTAGCAGAAACACTAACTCACTGCCTACTGGAATGCCAGCACGCCAAAGCGCTCTGGCTCAAGTGCAAAAAGGCTTGGTCCAACCTATCTAATAATGAATTCCCGACAGACCAATTCCTCCTACTAACAGCAATAGACAGAGAAGGTATAATCCCTGAGGAGGATAAGGAGATCACAGAGTTACTGCGAAGAACAACCCTGTGGGTAATATGGAGAGCCAGATATGGAAACACAATAGGAAAAAAGAAGATAACGACAAATGAATCATGGGAAGAGGCAAGGGAAATGGTAGAAACAGGAGTTAGAGTGGAATGGAAGCGAGTGCTTGGGAAAATGGACAAGGAAATAGAGGATCAGAAGAGGACCAAAATACAGAAAGAATTTGAACGACAGTGGCTGAAGGAGGGGCTAATGGCAAGGATAAACGGAAAAACCCTTCAATTCAATTCACGAACTGGTAGGAACCGGACAGCCCAAGAACAAGTCAGAATAACACAAGCACAATGGACTTAGACTGATAAGAAAGGAAAACTCGGAGAAGGAACAAGCGCAGCCATAGAATAGGGGAGGGTAAGAGGAAGTAAAGATTAGTGCCATGAAGAAACAAAAATGGCAAGGACAGCACTTCAAAACGGAGGAGCGGGACAGATGGAAAACCTAGCCAAAATAGAAAAGGATAGTCCAAAAGGAAACGGCAGCAACACCAACCCGCCATGAAAGAAAAAGGACACATAGTATAAAGAGAGAGAAGGGGAGGCTCTAAGATTTAAGGCTCAAGCACATCAAAAGACAAGATACAAACCCTAGATAAGGGTAACCTAGAAGAGATATGAGTTAATCTTCAGCAATCTGTTTGCTATTAAAATACAAAGGTCAAAACGGAGAGAGAGGGGAAGACTAGGGTTTAGAGTTCTAAAAAAGGGATTCAGGGTTTAAAGGGAAGTCGCCAGAGGGGAATAGAGAAAGGGTAGAGGTCAAGGGAGATGGACAATTAAGAGAGAATGAAAATGAGAAAGACCAAAAGAGGGGGTAGGGTTAAGAGTTGGAAGAAGGGTTTAGGGTTAAAGTGGCATAGCTAGAGGGGAGCAGAGGGAGTGTAGTGTTTGGGGAAGGCAAGGTAGGAAAAAAAAAAAAAAAAAAAAAAAAGAATAAAATTCCCTAATTGGTTATTCTGGCCCTCAGCAACCAGCCAAGGGCAAAACCCTAACAACGCGCAGTATACACCCCACTACACCCCCCAAGCCAACCCACCCACACACATACTAACCACAAAAAACAGGACACCACCGGAGAACCCCCACATTGGGCCCCTACACGCCTCAGAAATTCCCAACTCCAACAAAACCCGTCCCCCCCAATTGTAACACAGCCCGTCCCTTACCGCATTTATCCTCGCTCTCCCGTCCCAAGCCCATAACCACAAGCCCACCGACCCAGAATCCCAAAACCTTCACCTCTGCACAAACCCCCTCAGTCACCGCCCCCCCCCACCCCAACTACCCCACCAAGAATCTATAGGTATATTCAACAGCTTAAACACAGGAAATTTGGGCAGGGACAGACCATAAAAACACACTACAGTCAACAAGGGTTCAGGGTTTTAGCTTGAGGGTTTTAGGTTTTAAGGTTAGACAAGAACAAGGCATATAGGACCTAGGATGTTAGAGATTTCAAGAGGCTCGCAGACATTCCAGACCGCTCTAGCATAACAAAATAACCCGACAGCATCACAGCCGAGAGGAGCGGGACTGGGTTCAGACAGATTGGCAACAGCCAGACAGATCAAATAGCACAGGCTAAATTAGGCAGGGGTGAGGGGCGGTACATCCTTCCT